CGCAAGCACGCAGTGGCGCAGCGTCACGTTCAGCGCGTCAGCGAACGCGTCCATCGAGCGCAGGTCCACCGCCACAGTGATCGGTCCGCTGAACACCACCGAGTCGAAGCACGCCGTCGCCCGCCCGCCGCCAGCCGTCACCGACTCCGTCAGCGTCACGCCACTCACGCAGCCCTCCGCAGTATCGCCACCACCACTGGCCCTCGCAGGCGGCACGTCGAACGGCAGGCACGCCTCGCCCACGCCGCCGGCACGGCAGCTGCACACGCAGTCGGAGAACGACGCCGTCAGCGCATCAAAGCACGCCAGCGCAGCCGCACAGCCGTCGCACGGCACCACGCTCACGGAGGGCAGGCCGGCCGTGCGGTAGTCGCCGCTGCTCTGCAGCACCCGGCCGCCGGCACGGTTGCACTGCACCGACACGACGCCGCTCGTGATCGTCGGCCCGGAGACAAGCGTCGCGCCGGTGGCAGCGCAGCGCGCAATCGACACGGTGCCGCCGCTCAGCATCACACCCGACAGCGACGCCACGGACGACGCCTCGCCCACCGCCCACACGTCGTGCAGGTCCAGCCACCCGCCGCCACCGATCGTCCCGCCGTCGCAGCGCACCAGCAACGACGCAACAGACCCCTCGACGCGCACGAAGCGCAGCACCGAATCAAACACCGCGAGGCGCTCTCCAAGCACAATACCGCCGCCGCTGCTCACAACCGACACGTTCGTCACGGAGAACACCGAGTGGCTCCGCAGACTGAGGCGCGACGAGGACGCCACACGCATCGCGGACGCGGTCGGACCGCCCGACGCCTCCAGCGACACGCCGTCAAGCACCACAGCGCCCGACAGCAGGTCCACGCCGCCGCCAAAGTACACCGCCGACCCGCCCGCCTGCGACGACCTCAGCACAGTGTTGCTCACACGCAGCTGCGACTGCAGCAGCGACGTCGCGTACAGCACAAGCGGCGACGCCACCGCATCCGTCAGCCCGCTCAGCTGCGAGTAGCGCATCGGCCCCGCCGTCACAATCGTCGAGTCACGGACCGTCACGTTCGTGTGTGCCGGCAGGTTGTGCACAAACACAAGCGAGCAGTAGCTCCCGGACAGCCCGCTCACGCTCACCTCCAGGCTCCGGTCACTCGCCGGCTCGCCGCTGTAGCCCCGCACGTAGATCTGCGCACCGCCGTCGCACACGCAGTTCCTCAGTTCGATGCGCAGCGCGCCGGGAAGCATCGCCGGCACGTCGAACACCACAGCCACGCCGTTCGTGACGTACACGCCGTCCATCAGCACCGTGTCCACGGCGCGGCCAACCGTGATGGCTCTGTCCACAGTGCCGCCCCGCAGTCGCAACACCACCGCATGCACCGCGGGCATCCACGCAGCAGCTGCTGCCAGCACCAACGCCACAAGCAGCGCCGCACGCACAGCCAAAATGGCCCTGCGCCGCACACGGTGCCGGCCGCGCGGACACGCACCCACAGCAGACTGCATCCACCGACTCAGACACGTATCAGCAGGGCTCTCGTGACGTGTCGCTCTCGCCCCGTCGACCATTCCTCCTGTCTATCAAATCCTTTCCTACAGATGGCGAATCCAGTGACACGATTCCGCCAGATCGATATCCCAGTACTACCAATCCTAATACTGCGAGTAATCCCTAACACCTTGAAACGATAGTTGTGCTGGCAAAGCCAAAGTATCTCGAACTGCACGCTCAAAAAAAAAAAAAAAAGAATAAGAGGCAGCAGTAACAGTAACCAAATACAGTGGCAAGCAGAGGCATCCGGTCATACACAATCCCCACCACAGTACAGTCGCCGACACAAAGCAGCGCAGACGCAATAAAGTCAGTGACACCATCGTCCTCCCATCGCCCACACAGCCTCACACAGCCACCGTGCCGAGTGGCGGAATCTCGGCAAAAAGCCATATGACCACTGGCACCGCTCCTTTTACCGAATGGCTCCATCACAGGGCAATCCCGATGCCGTGCACGACACACAAGAGCCGAGGCAGACCACGTGGCGGCGTTACGACCGCCAGCCATCAAGCGCGTCCAAAAGGTGTTGGCGTTGGTGGTGCGTAAGTAAAGCGGAGAGCTCGCCGGTTGCCAGCAGTCAAAGCGTCGTTTCTAGTTCACGCGTGTCGGCATTGCGCAGCAAGCAGCGGCACCATGCGCGCACGGCATACACAAGAAAGAAAAAATAAAGAGGCACGGCGGCAGCACTCAAACACGGGAAAAAGAGTCCACACCGATTGCACATTCCGATTGGCTCACAGACATCCGGATGGTGGTCCCGCCGCTGCCGTGCGGTGCGTGTGGCGTGTGACTGCAGTGGATTGAGGGGATGATGAAAGGGGTGGGAGACGCAGTGCGGCCCTCATCCATCTCGGTTGACTGTGACACCGGTGACATCTTCCCGTCAGGTCGCTTGCAGCAAAGACCGTCGCCGTCAGCAGCGGTCGGTGCCTTCCCTCTCCACCGGGGCGCAACTCCACCGACGCAGTCGCTCGTCTCCTCCCTCACCAACACAACGAGGGAGCAACGGCAAAAGATGAGACACACACGGCAAGCACGCAGTCGCAGAGCTCCACTGCTCCCGCCATGGCCAAACAAGGTCGGCTGCAGGGCGCAAAAAGAAGAATGAACACCCCACCAAACGCTTCAGCACCACGTAGAAGCATCGCAATCGACACACAAGGCGAAACGCCGTGAAGCAGGCACCAAAACCAAAGTTCCTCCAACAAATTCATCGTGAAGCAAAAGAAAATATTATGCAAGCGCAAAAAAATTCACACAAACCGAAAAACAACAATGACGGTGCAGAGGCAACAAATGGTCGTGGTGCACAGCGGCCGTGGCATCGCGCCCTTCCCTCATCAAACGGCACCGCACCACAACGCACCGTGGCGACGGCCTGCAATGACGACGACTGAGTAGCACACACAAAGCGGCATAAACCTTTCATCCCGCACTCGCTCACATTTACGCTCTCAGTATGTACTGCCAACGACACGGGAAATGACACGGAAGGGGACTGTCCTATCATCCTCCTTCTGCCCACAACAGATCTTCCCCATCCACCTCCTCGCCACACTCTGGGTGCTGCGAAACGCCGTCAAGCAAAGCCACGTGTATCGAAGTCCTCAATGCGCGGGGCGAGGCTGGCAGCCACCCACAATCACTCCCCCTACACATATCCTCTCCCACAACTTTCCCACACACAAAAGGGCAAAGAAATGGAGAAGAAAAGCCCGCCGCAGAACGCACGCAGAAGCACCGCCATCCACGTCGCACCGCAAGAAGGAGCCATGCGCACGGCACACCCACGGCGGCAAAGAGAGGGACGGAGCGCATACAGGTCCACGGCACCGTCCCTTACTTCTCTCTTCCCCGACAAATTGGAATTACGCCCCACAGCAGGCCGTGGCGGGTGGCGTCCCACACACACAGTGAGGCACGGCGCACACAGTCCACTCCCTCCGAGCGCACTCAGCAGGCCGGCGCCAGTCACCCTCCTGCCATCGCAAAGGGGAACAGAAACAATCGTCGTCGCGGACCATCGGTGCCTCTAGCATAAGAAAAAAAATGAGGGCATGACAACAGCACGGCTACCAGAGGAACAATCAACGGGACACGTAAGCACTCAGCACGAGTGAAAACACAAAGAAAAAAAAAATGAACCGCAGCGATTTACCAAAAACAAAAGAAAAAAGAGTGAGAGTCCAGAATAACTCCCAAAAATATGAAAAAAAAAGCATAAAATTGATTCGGAAAGAAGTTCATTTCCTGTTCCAAGGAGTACCATACAGTCATGTGTCTGTGTATGCATACTGCCTGCAACAAGAAAAAGAAGTCAAAGAAAAGATCGTACTGTTCCACCAGCCCACACAACATCCTTCACATTTCGTGCGGCATCCGGCCCGTTTTTTCAATCATTGTTTCGTGCAATCCATGGGACGCACAGCCGCGGAGCCGGCATCGCGTGTAGGCAAAACAAACAAAAGGGGAAACACGTCACTCAAGACGGTATGTAGCAGACACCCATTAAATAAAGAAGACAGTGAAAATGCGCAGCTGGACGGCAATACGGCCAGCACAGCTCCCCACCCTCCATCACCGCACGGTGGCAGCGGCAAACAACCGTCCACAGAAAAAAAAGAACAAAGGAAAAGAAAAACACGGCGGCAGGGTGTGGCTGTGTGTGTGTGGCGCTGCGGGTGTCTGCCAGCCCTGGCCGCAAACAAAACAAAACAAAACAAGAGGAAAGAAATGTGTGCGCTGCCCCACAGGCCCTCGTCGCACGCCCACACGTCACGGCTCCCTCAGCGCGCCGTTCGTCGCGGCCCCTCCTCATGCATGCAGCAGGCGAGGCGCACAGGGCCGTCGTCATGAGCGTGTCGGTGGGTGTGCGAGTGGAGCAGTTGGGCGGGAACACACGGCACCCCTCGCAGGAAGAGTGCAGCAACAAACAATTAAAAGAAGGAAGAGTAGAAAAGAAAAAACGTCCACAGCGATTGCCCCCAAAAGCAAAAAAGAAGGATGGGGGAGTGAGAGATGAAAAAAAACGGGCAAATTAATAACAAAAAAAGACTAGCAAGAAATTTAAAGCAAACAGTATAAGAAATTGAACTTACAAAAAAAAAAAAAAAAAAGCCGAAGCGTGGGACGACCAGCGCACACACACTCTCATTACTCCCGTAAAGCAAAACACACACAGGGAGAGAGAGAGAGGTCGCCCACTCAATGCAATGGAAACAAAACAGAAACAGTTACGGTGCTCCGCCCATGCAGCCAGGCAGGACGGCAGCGGTGCGTGTCGTGCAAAAGAGAGCACCAACGGGCCTGCATGGGTGTGCATGCATATATACAATGGGCACATATTGTGTGTGCTTCGTGGGGTGGGGTGAGGGCGAGAGTCCATGCAAGGGGACACACACAGAGAGTGAAGAACGAGTGTGTGTGCGGGCGGTGCGCGGCTCTCTCTCCCTCACTCTCACGCGGCCACCACCGCAGCAGCAGCCGCACACGCAACAACAACAAGAAGAAGAAGCAAAAGAGGGGAGGTGGTGTGGGAGGCCGCGGTGCTGCTGTCACTGTCGCCAGGTGTCGTCGTATTAATTTTTGTAAGGCTTTGGACTGCTGCCATTTTTTTTTCGACTGTTGTCGTTTCTTTTTCATCGGCTACGCGTTCTTCTTTGGTTTCTTCTTTTTCCTCATTTTTTGACTTCACTGCGTTCTTTTCTCGTTCTTTCTCTTTCGTTGATTTCTCTTCGTTTTTGGTGGATTCATCTCTTTTTTTCTCTTCTGCTTTTTCAACGTTTCCATTTGTGTTGCTTGTTTCAGACTGTTCTGGTGTTTGAGCCTCAGTTACGTGACTGTCCTCCGCAGTGTTTCCCGCTGCTGCTCCTTCTGTTGATTTTTCTTCGATTGTTGTTTGTTCTTTTCCTCTACCCACTTGATGCCCTTTTTCTTTTGCCTCTTTAGATGTATCTTCTTTCTGAATGAATTCCACGGTTGGTTCCTCTGGCGCTGGAGATCCCTCTGCTTGTTGGACTATCGTTTGGCCAGCAAGTCCTTTTTCTCCAACGGTGCCATTTGTCCCTTCAACACTTTGAGTGCCTTTACCGTTAACGTGCGAAACAGATGGAAGAGCTACATGTAGTCCAGTGGAAATATCATCACTGACATGATGATTTCCACTGATTTCATCTTCGTTGTTCAAGCTTCCTTCTCCCCCGTTTCTCTCTCTTGTATTCGTTGCTTCTTCGTCTTCGTGTTTTGGATTTTCATCTGATATTTCAGCGGCTCCATCAACTTCCTCGTCAATATCGATACTGACACCTTCACCAATCCGTTTCACTGGGTCTCGGTCGTCTTTTACTTCTTTTTCATTTTTTTCATTTAACATTTTTTCAGATCTGGTTTCGGGAAGCCCAGGAATCTCCGCGGGCGTCTGTAACGCATCTCCGTTCCCTGGTGCTTTATCCAATTTTTCTGGTGGTGGTTCCAACGCTGGTTCAAGTGGTACTTTGTCCTTCAAACCATCGTCACTCCCTGACTGTCCCTGTGAGGAAGATTCAGGATCGCTAACATCCCGAGCAACATCAGCAGCAGCCACGGCAAACTGCTGACGTCTCCAACGACGACGGCCATCCAAAACGGCACGCACACCGTCCATCCCCCGACGCATGCATTCCTCAACGGCGGATGCATTCGCACTGCTTCCTTTCCTCCTGATGACCTCCTCCGCGCATTCCATCCGCAGCCGGGTAAGCCACAAAGCGATCAAATTCTCACCCGCACTGCCATCACCACCGCCAGCATCATCGGCCGCAATTCCAAATACACCGCACCACAGCACGCAGAGGGCACACACCAGAAGCACACGGCCAGTCATCGTCATCGCCATCACTCCTGTCACTTGCGTGTAGCCTTCAGCACAAAATAACTCCCCGTCAACGCAGAGCAAAAGCAAAAGGAGAAACACGGCCGCTACACCGTCCCATCCAGCGATGAGAGTCACGCACACACCACGAGACAGAGGGAATCAGTGGGAGGGAAACGCAATCAACGCCCGCAGCAAGAAAACATCAATAAATAAATAAATAAATAAATAAAATAAAATAAGTAAAAACAAAAGAAAACAAGCAGCAATAAAGTAAAGCAGTAAAAACGCACACACAAACAAAAACCTGCACAAAAATAACTCCAGTGCGCATGCACCTATCCTCAACAGTGTGTCCACGCAAACAGTCGTGTGCGTGTCGTGCGTATGCGTATGTTTCGGATGTATGTTCAACGTGACGGATGTGGCACAGCACGGAGCACACAGCAGGCAGCGGAAGCAAAAAAAGCAAAAAAAACAATCATCATAATTGCTCTTACTTTATACATCGGAACACTGTGGACGCACACATTCCCCCGTGGCTGAGTGCTGGCACGCATGGTCCACTTTCCATTTCAGCCCACAGCGGTGTACGCCAGCGCGGATACGGCAAGCACCAGCGGGGAACACACCCACGCAGAGCTGCTGAGGCTGCCGTCAATTTCGCGAATATGTGACGGTGCGCGGGTGGTCGTCGTGGTTGGCGCCTCTGCATTCGTAGTAGTTGTTGCCTGTGGCGCAGTGGTCGTCGTTGTAGTTGGGGCATTTGTCGTGGTTGTAGTGGTAGTCGTATTTGCAGCAGTGGTCTCGTTCTCTGATACCTTCCTTACAGCAGTCAAACTTGTTGACTGCTGCGCATCGGATGTATCTGTTACTTCTGGATTAAGGGGTTTCTCTTTTCCTTCTTTTGCCGTCTCAGTGACTCCATCAAGTGCCTGCTCCTGAACATCCTTCGGACTTTCTGACTTCAGCGTGTCAATTATCGGAACTAGTAGTTCTGAGTTACTGGAAGGCGTCCCATTATCATTCTGTCCCGCACCGGACGCTGCTTTTCCTGTCCGTAATGCATCAACATCCGTATCTGAATTATGTTCCCCACCGAGCTTATTTAGCACTTCTGAAACAATAACCTGTACATTAACTTCTTCTCCAGTTTTAACCTCGCCTGCTGTCGCTCGCGCCGAAGGGCAGCAGCACAGCGCAAGCACCAACAGGGCGCACAGCAGACGGCACGTCATCATCGTGAGTGTAGTCGTTCAGTGGTGTGGAGCTGATCTGCACAGTGAGGGACATGGAGAGCAACAGGGGAGACGAGAGGTGCGGCAGACACACACAGAGGGCACACCACATGAGGAGAGGGCAGCAGCCAGGCATGCACCGTACGCCGCACACCACGCACGACACACACTCCAATCCACGGCAGCAGGCACACACACACACACACACGGCCCTGCCGCAACACCAACACACAGATGGAGGAGGGAGAAGCAAACAGGAGCGGCACACAAGGCTCCACCGCATGTACACACGGCGAGAGCGGTCCGTCGCGTCGGCACCCCTCACGGAGAATACGCACACACACAAGAGGAGGCGCGACGCACACAGCAACGCAAAAGTAAAGTAACAGTAAAAAGGGAATGATCCCCGCACACCACGTGGATTGTTGGTCCACGGGAAGCACAGCCAATATTCATCACAAAGCAACCTTTTATCTTGTTGTAGGTGTACACGGCCACAGCAACGAGTGAGCAGCGCAAGGGCCGTCCGTAAAAAAATGGCAATTATTCCGTCTCATACGGGCCGTCGCGCGGGCTGAGGCAGTCACAAACAGTCGCGGTCCCAATTCGCAACGACGGGGCATTCCCGCAGTGGATGATGCACAGTTTCCCGTTGTCCGTGGGGGATCAGCAACTCACGGCGTCTGTGATGCGGCGGCGGCGGAAGAGCCTGTTCCATATTGAGTTCCCGCGGTTGTGCTTCCTGCATGTTCGGTCTGCTGGCGTGCTTGGCAATTTCGGTGGAGACCTGTGCGCGAGGCACCTATTAGGAAGACGGTGGCGCCATTGCGGCGTCCGCATGCGAGGCGTTCTTCGACCATTAGAACGCCAGGCCGAAAACGTCCGGCGTGTGCCCTCATATTGTGGACGGACGAGAAGACGCTGCCGCAGATTGGGCAGGAGGAAATCAATCCGCTCGCTGATCGGAAAGGAGTTGCCGTCGACACGCGAGGTGGAGGCTCCGGAGGCAGAGCCGGGCCATTCTCCTCAGTGTGAGAGAGCGGCGCCACCGACACAGAGGGTTATTTGTGATCCGCAGGGCGCGTGCAGATCTGTCGAAGAGTGGGCGGGAGTCGCATCGCGCCTGTGCGCGGTGCCGCCGCTCGGGGCGCGATGTCCGGGTCAACACCAGGAATAGAGTCCTGCCACGCCGTCAAGCGCCTGTCATGCGATGTGTGCGCCTTCCTCTTCCTCCTGGGTATCCCTCCCGTTCCGTCGCTTCACTGCGGTAAGTCATTCCACGTGCCAGGCATCGACGCAGTCCTGCAGAAGAGATCGTGCCATGACGGTGTCGGCGTCCGCTGTCACGTTGCGCGGGATTCCGCGGCGTTATGGGAAAATGTGGAGCCAACAGTGCGACCTCAATCCGCCAGTGAATGCGGCACGGTGCAAATCTCCTCGCTGACGCAGTCGTGCACCGCCAGCGGGCCAAGGCGGAGTGCCTCGATCGCCGAGAGGGAGTTTGTGGCGACAGGAACTCGTGTGGGCGATTGGGATGCTGCCGCCAGGCGGGGAACTGGGAACTGTCTGTGGCCACGCTCGGTGGCAGGACGCTCCGCTCGGCAGGAGCATGCAAGTCTGCCAGCAGCTGCGCGGTGAGGCCCCACAGGGAGCTCGGTCGTCCGGGGAGTCAAGTGGCAGCGCAGCTGATCCAGAGGCATTCTCAGCGAGAGACAACGAGCCGTGCGTCCAGCGGCCTGCGTCATATGGTCCCAGAGAGGCGCAGGCCGCTTCAACGGCCGATCGTCTGACACCGTCCAGGGCGTCGTTGAGCGTGCCGTGGCCGGAAGACGCCCACCGCGTTGCAGCTCACGGTGTCCAGGTAACAACGCGCTGCCCAGCATGAGGGACGCGGATGTGGTCCGGGAAGATCCTCATGTGGCTACAAACGCGTCGCGGTTCCTTGAGGACGGCATCTCTCGGCAGCGGAATACTCGTCGCTGCCTTACCAAGTATTGACGGAGCTGTGTTTTCCAAGCAGGTTGCGCCACGCTCTTCCTCAATATACCAAAGAAATGTGAGGCGTTCATGCCGTATGGGTGTGCGGAACCCAATGTTCCTCCCCAGCGGTGCTGGATTGGCGGCCAGGTGGCCAGAGGTATCCTTCGCTGATGCGCGTGGGCCGAGCGATGCTGTGCAGCTGTCGCCGCGCCGCACTTCCAGGCTGTGGAGGTGAGTGGGGACCGGACACGGTGCGGTCGCCTCACCGCCGTGGTGCAACGCACTGTGGACGCATCCAACCAGAAAGGATCGCGTGGTGTGCTGGGACGCCCCGGCCTCTGCATCCAGCCGCGACCGATAGCGGCGTGGCGCGGTCTGCCCAGCGGTCTGGTCCAAGAATATTTGTCTAATTCTCAACGCGCTGCGCGAGAACGGTGAGTGGGCGTTCCCGAAGGATGCATCGCAGGTGTACAGCGCCGTTCGTAATATCCGGTGGGTGTCTGTCCCCGTGAAGGCGTCCACAACGGTCCCGGATGACAGCGGGAGGCACTGCGGCTTCACTTGGTGTTGCACAGCGACTTTATTTGACAGGGTATTTGATTTGTGGTTATTGGGTCCTTTGTGGGAGAAGGTGGGAGGCTGAGGGCATGAGGACTGAATTCATTTGAGTGGCTGCGTTCCGCTGACTTGCGGCCAGTCGTGGCACTCTTTTGGGGTTTGGCGGCTCGTCTCTTTTGCTTACTTCTCACCGCAGCACGTGGACAACACTGATGCGAAGAACATTTGTTTGACCGCGTGTGGGCTGCTGCCGTGCGTGGTGCGTGGACTATTTGATTGCGTGAGGAGGTGCATGGAGTGACGAATACTTCTGTTTGGCGTGTCGCGGTGTGTCGGAATGATGTTCGGATGACATGTGAAGGGTGTTGTTTGTGGTTTGTGTGTCCTCTCTGGTGGAGCCGACATGTGTGCGGGGATTGTGGCGTTGCTGGTAGCTCCACGTCACTTTTCGGCATTCCTGGATGTGGTGAGGAATGACGGCTGGCAACCAGCGTGTTGGTGCTGCCGGTGAGAATAAGTGCATCGGGAATTGGCCGTTTTCTATTTTCTGTGCTGGAGCCGATGGACTGGCACGAGGGCACCGGCTGCAGGCTGCCTGCCAGCACGTGTGGGCAGCGGATCCATGCACACACCGACGCTCATCGCAAGAGATTGTGCGATCACGGTGGCATTTGTGGCGTGCCTTTGTGGACGTCAGCCCATCGAAGAATGTGTGAAGCAAACGGCTGACTGCACACGAGGGAAATGAGTGCGTGCACTGTGCCGTGTTTCAGCGTCGATGGCACAGCGGCAGGAAGCCCGTGCTGGCAACCGGGATCTTTGCGTCGCGAGGGATGTCAGTGTTGATTTTGGATCGTCGAGGGTAAAGTGATTTTGCTGCTGCCCGTGTGTGTGGCCACTCCGGCGGAGGGTGGACACAAAAGGGAGGGATGCAGGCGCTGCGTGTGTGTGCAGGTGCCATGCAACAACGTCACAACAAACATGCTGCGACTCGGTGACCCTCACATCGTTGTGGTCCTCATGAACAGCGCAGGCACCGCCCACATCGATGCACTTAGTGGACGGAGTGAGGCGTCTTTTGAGGCGCTGCAGGGAGCAGGATGTGTTGGCGCAGCCACGAAGTGCATGGAGCGTCGCGATGGCACAGTCAGCTGTGGCTGGTGGAATATTTTCTTCTCGAAGGCAACAGAGAGAGAGAGAGAGCTGCTCCTGCTGCTGGCGTCGTTGCTGCCTTTTGTGGCCTCCCATGCCGATTATTGTCTGTCCGCTGATCATGGGTGGCATGCCTCCACTAGTGGCGTCGTCTGCAGGCATTCCACAGCACCAGGGAAACACACATCACTTCGCATGCTTGGCTGTGGATGTGGTGTCGTGAATGCAGCCGGCATTATTTTGCCCGACTCCCTTTCACTGCCTTGCGACAAATAGATGCGTCGCCACCCGAGTCATTCACTGCAGCTCCGTGTGCTGTACTGCCAGCACAATACTCTCGTGTTGTCTGGCGCCTGGCTGACAGTCAAACACCACTGCGTTGGGACATGCAAGGATGTGGACTGCCGCTCACGGTGTTGGGCACCGCTGTTTGGATGCGGCGGCCACACGAGCGGATGTATTGTGGCACACTCAAATGCGTGAAATATGCGGAATCACAGCGGCTGCAATAATATCGACGGTGTGGCACCACGGAATGTGTGAGAGGGTGATGCATGATGAATCACAGTGGGCGGCATGCGAGGGAAGTGCACCGCGATGGAGCGTCATTCCGCCCTCAGCCTACAGGGGAATGTGCACCCAGAGGAATATATGGTCGAGGCACCACCAAACACACATGCCCTTCTGTGCACCAATAAATAGGAGCGAAGGTGCGTTCTGGTGTGTGGGAGTCCACTCACATATTTTCATTTCCACCGCAGTAAACGGTGAGGAATCAGGTGCCAAAGTAACGAAGGAGGAAATAAAAACATCTATTGCAGCACTTTACCAGCGAAAAGCAGGAAGAACACAAACCGAATTGTTGGCTGCGCTTCCCGTGGACCAACAATCCACGTGGTGTGCGGGGATCTCTCCCTTTTTACTGTTACTTTGGCCTTTTGCGTTGCTGTGTGCGTTGCGCCTCCTCTTGTGTGTGTGCGTACCCTCCATGAGGGGTGCCGACGCGACGGACCGCTCTCGCCGTGTGTACATGCGGTGGAGCCTTGTGTGCCGCTCCTGTTTGGTTCTCCCCCCTCCATCTGTGTGTTGGTGTTGCGGCAGGGCCGTGTGTGTGTGTGTGTGCCTGCTGCCGTGGATTGGAGTGTGTGTCGTGCGTGGTGTGCGGCGTACGGTGCATGCCTGGCTGCTGCCCTCTCCTCATGTGGTGTGCCCTCTGTGTGTGTCTGCCGCACCTCTCGTCTCCCCTGTTGCTCTCCATGTCCCTCACTGTGCAGATCAGCTCCACACCACTGAACGACTACACTCACGATGATGACGTGCCGTCTGCTGTGCGCCCTGTTGGTGCTTGCGCTGTGCTGCTGCCCTTCGGCGCGAGCGACAGCAGGCGAGGTTAAAACTGGAGAAGAAGTTAATGTACAGGTTATTGTTTCAGAAGTGCTAAATAAGCTCGGTGGGGAACATAATTCAGATACGGATGTTGATGCATTACGGACAGGAAAAGCAGCGTCCGGTGCGGGACAGAATGATAATGGGACGCCTTCCAGTAACTCAGAACTACTAGTTCCGATAATTGACACGCTGAAGTCAGAAAGTCCGAAGGATGTTCAGGAGCAGGCACTTGATGGAGTCACTGAGACGGCAAAAGAAGGAAAAGAGAAACCCCTTAATCCAGAAGTAACAGATACATCCGATGCGCAGCAGTCAACAAGTTTGACTGCTGTAAGGAAGGTATCAGAGAACGAGACCACTGCTGCAAATACGACTACCACTACAACCACGACAAATGCCCCAACTACAACGACGACCACTGCGCCACAGGCAACAACTACTACGAATACAGAGGCGCCAACCACGACGACCACCCGCGCACCGTCACATATTCGCGAAATTGACGGCAGCCTCAGCAGCTCTGCGTGGGTGTGTGCCTCGCTGCTTGCCGTATCCGCGCTGGCGTACACCGCTGTGGGCTGAAATGGAAAGTGGACCATGCGTGCCAGCACTCAGCCACGGGGAAATGTGTGCGTCCACAGTGGTCCGATGTATAAAGTAAGAGCAATTATGATGATTGTTTTTTTTGCTTTTTTTGCTTCCGCTGCCCTGCTGTGTGCTCCGTGCTGTGCCACATCCGTCACGTTGAACATACATCCGAAACATACGCATACGCACGACACGCACACGACTGTTTGCGTGGACACACTGTTGAGGATAGGTGCATGCGCACTGGAGTTATTTTTGTGCAGGTTTTTGTTTGTGTGTGCGTTTTTACTGCTTTACTTTATTGCTGCTTGTTTTCTTTTGTTTTTACTTATTTTATTTTATTTATTTATTTATTTATTTATTGATGTTTTCTTGCTGCGGGCGTTGATTGCGTTTCCCTCCCACTGATTCCCTCTGTCTCGTGGTGTGTGCGTGACTCTCATCGCTGGATGGGACGGTGTAGCGGCCGTGTTTCTCCTTTTGCTTTTGCTCTGCGTTGACGGGGAGTTAGTTTGTGCTGAAGGCTGCACGCAAGTGACAGGAGTGATGGCGATGACGATGACTGGCCGTGTGCTGCTGGTGTGTGCCCTCTGCGTGCT